TTTTCCCCAATCATTATTATTATTATAATTATTTTTTAAAACAGTCAATCGCTACTTCTCATTTTGCTTGTAAAAATACTTTGCCCATCATGAAATACTTCTCAGACCAATCCAGTTGAGAATACTATACATGTCATCATCAACAGTTAATAAGCCATATCTGTTTCTCACTAACGTCCTGCCTCTCTATTGTTCACTTGCTATCTTTCTCTATCCTCTTCTCTTCACTTCCCCCCTTCCACACTGTCCTATTCTCATTAAGTACCTTCACTGCTTTTATGTCCTCCAATTTTTTGCTCTCTATCATAGAGTGCGGATAGTCGGTATATATTGAGTGGGTACATACAATATCTTTCTTTCATAGCCTGGCTTACTTCACTCAGCATATTTATTTTTCTTTTATACATTCAATCACTATACATCATTTAGCTTGTATAGTGAATTTTCCAACATGAATACATTTCTCACCAGTCCAGTTGGGGAACCTATACACATTATCATCAACAGATAATAATCCATTTCTGTGTTCCATAAATGTCTTGCCTCTTTATTTTTCTTCCTAATGTCTTTCCTCAGACTCTCCTCCTTCTCCCATCCTCTTCCCATACTGTATCCAGTATCTATAACCAATTTCCATGTTTCTATATCCTCTAGTTTTTCAGTTTCAACTATATCTTGGCCTGCTACTAGATCCTAGTAGAAACTGAACACTTGACCATGGGCCTCCAAGTTCCCACGCAATTATCACGAACTGGGTGTTATCTGACCCATTGTTTTAGTCTGCTTTCTGTCACTATAACAGAATACCACAGGCTGGGTAATTAATAAAGAAAATAATTTATTCTTCTGGAGACTAGGAAGTCAAAGAGCATCATGCTGGTATGATGTGGCAGAAGGTAGAAGGGGAAAGTGAGTATGTGTGTACGTATATGTGTGTGTGTGTGTGTGTGTGTGTGTTTCAGAAAGTTAGTGAAAAAATGCAACTAAATTATTAGTCTATTTTGGTGGAAAAATTTTTGAAACCCATACATAGATTTTTAATGATACATATTTTTCATAAACTTTTTGAAACCTCTTGCTCTCCATAAAAATATAATATGTATGCATATATGTATGTATTCATACTTACAAAATAAGGAGGAAATACTCATATATGTATGAATTCATACATAATGCAAATATCTTTATTTCTTTTCTTATCCCTTTCTTACATAACATAACATATATTGACTTTATATAGGTATTTAGATTTTTTTAGAATTTTAAATTTTATTTACATTATTATTTTTTAGTTTATTATAGGGCACATGCACTCACCAGAGAGAGACAGAGAGAGAGAAAGTGAGAAAGAAAGCTGCCAGGCCCAGGATTCAAACTGTGGTCAGCTATGTGGAAGTCCACTGCCTTAACCACTATGCCACCAGTATTGTTATTGCTGGCCCCAGTATTGTTAAGTTTACATTATAATATTTAAGTTTATGAGATTTCAGGAGAAGGCTTAACACCAAGGATCTTATTTTCTCTTTTGAAAGGGAGATTCGTGTGTTTTTTGGTTATGTGAAGGATAGTTGTAGTATGTTAGATGGAACTATTACCTGTTATTGTATTTATTTGGACATTATGTATAGTTTATGGAAGATGAATATGGGTGCCAAGTTGATAAGGAGTGGACTTGTGATGATTAATTTTAGGTGTCAACTTGGTTGGATTAAGGAACACCTGGAGAATTGGTAAAGCATTACTTCTAGGTATGGGTGTTTCCAGAGGAGATTGGCATGTGAGTCGATGAACTGAGGGGGAAGATCTGCCCTCGGTGTGGGTGGACGCCCATTCAACTGGAAGTCTGGACAGAACAAAAAAGTCAGAGGGAAGTCAGTTTCCTCTCTGTCCTAGAACTGGACACCCTTCTCTTGCCCTTGGTCATCAGAACTCCAGGCTTATACTTTTGGACTTAAAGACTTACACCAGTGCTTTGCCCTCCATGTTCTCAGAATTTCAGCCCTGGACTAGTTCTGAAACTTATGGACTAAGACCAAGCCACACTATCCCAGAGTCCCCAGTTTGCAGACAGCCTGTTAAAGGACTTCTCAGTTTCCATAATTGCATGAACTAATTCTTGTAATAAATCTCCTCTCTTCTACCTTTCTCTATATTTGTTCATTTGTCTTTCTGTCTTTTATTGGTTCTGTCTCCCTGGAGACCCTTTCCTAAGGCACCTACCAAATATACCCAATTAGAAAGATGATTCATAAGCACCATTGGCTTGTATTGTGGCTTTTATGCAGGCCCTTGGACGGCTAGTCCTGTATGTAGTAAAAAGGGGAAAGATCCCTTTTGAGACGCTGGAGACTCAAGGTGATGAAGAGTTGGTTCAACTTTCTCCAGATGAAGAAAGCAAGGACCTCATCTATCACCTGTTCCACCCTGGGGAGAATGTGAAGGACTATCTGAGTGACCTTCTGGAGCATCCCTTCTTTTGGACTTGGGAGAGGTATGTAGAACTTGAATATACATCATGGCCTCCAGAATGGAGAGGGTGAGGTGGTGTGGGTGGGAGTTCCTGTTGGGGACCAGCAGACCCAGACGTGAGTCTCAGCTTGTCACTTGAAGGTTGTGTGTCCTGGAGAGATGATTTAACCTCTATGAGTTCTGGTTTTCTCTTCTGAAAGATAGGGAACTGGGTAGGAAAAAGAGAATGCTTGCCTCTTTCATGAGCAAAACTTTTAGACATTATTAGTTTTATTAAAAGCCAAAATCTAAGTTTTCTCCTCTCAAAGAGTGAGAAGGATGGGATGTTCATGATAATTCTGTCATTTTCAGCCGCTATAGAACCCTCCGGAATGTGGGAAATGAATCTGACATTAAAAAGCTAAAACCTAAAAGCAAGATCCTTGAACTACTAAATCCTGGGCCATCTGATTGTTCAAGAAGTTTTTCCCAGTGGACTAAGGAGGTAAAAACAATTCATGTCTTGGGATTATTCCAGGAATAAGAATCTATGTAAAGTTTTATGTCACTTTTCTAACTTATTGTATACCATTGTTCTTTCCCAACTGAAGGAAGGAGAGGGTAATTTTCCTTTTCGCCTTCTGTCCCAGTTCCACATGGCTCTTTCTGGTCCCTGCACCCTACTTTGGAGGTCAAGTAGTCCCTCTTTCCTTCAGACCAGAACCCTGGGCATACTCTTATTCAGCTCCCCCTTAGCATGGCCGTGTGGCCGTGTCCTAGCTGAGTCTTTCCCACAGCCTGACTTAGAACTCTTTCACCATCATGTGCTGAGACCATGCAGTTAACACAAGCTGAGTATGAAAGAACTGCCCCTCAGGCCTAAAGAGCAAGGACTCCACTGAGGAAAACTGTTTGCAAGGTCAACAGTTTTTTGAGTTTTAATTCTCTATTGTGTCGCTGTACTGGCCTGCACTCAATTTCTCTGCCATGGGCCTTATTGCCATACCCCAGTACCCCATAAAGGCACCCCCAGCCTTACTATAACTTTTACAATAATCCTAAAAGAATGCGAATCTACTAAGGCGACAGCTGCATAAGGCGGCGGCTGTGAACAGGAGTTACTCCCATTAGACTCACCCCACCCTCCTGGAAAATGTCAATAAAGAATGCTACATTCACTTCTCCTACTAGAAATTACATAGATAAGCGTTAAAAAGGTTTAGGTTAAAGCTACTAATTGGTAAAACGATTTCAGTAGCAGGGAGGGGCTCAGGGACTCATTTACGAGGTGCTGTTACCCCAAAGACTATAATCCACCCTTACTCTCAGGACAAGGAAAGATTGCCATTTCCCAAGCCACAGTCATTGTATAGAGTAGCATGTGGAGGGTCTTAAGTACACAATAACCTTTAAGTCAGTCATTAAGTTACTCACAAGACTACATTTCTTTTCTATGTAGACTTACCCTCTTAGCTGTAGACTACCCCAGAAATAATATAAATATTTCACTGTAGTATATACTAACCTTGTCTTTACTAAACTAGACAGGATTTATTTTTAGGCTCTTGTAATTGCTGCCACCCTAGCCTGAGGCTAAAGTTCTCAAGCTGACCTGGGGCTTAAAATTTTTAAACCAATTTGGGACTAAAGTAATTAAGCTGGTCTGGGACTAAAAATTCCTAAAAACCCTCTCATTCAAAGACCCTCCCTGGTAATTAAGATTAAAAAGAAAAGAAAGAAAAATAGACTTCCTCGTTTTAAAAATTATGACTGTTTATACCTAAACAAAACAAATGTCATGTTTTAAAATTATTATTCCTATACTTTAAATGCCTTACCTTTGAGAGTAAAATCTTTCACTTATTTCCCCTCGCCCATCCTACCCCTGTAAAACTCCTTCTATAATAAATATACATGACTGCTGGCCATCAGGGCTACAGTCCTGAGTTTACTCTGGCTGTAGCTGACTAAAAACATGCTAAAGGGCATAAAGTCTTAGTCTAATTCCTGTTCACCCATGTTGCCTCCCTGTGCACCCACCCCGGCTGGAACACGGCTTCCGGCAATCATGACAAGAGAAGCTGACTAAATAGAGCTCAACCCAAAGGTGGAGCTCTACCATGGGGTGTTGTGGTCCAGGGAGAGCTTGCTATCCTTGCTGCCTGTGAATGGTCCAGCTCTCAGGATCCGTGTACAGAACTTCATCTGCCTGAGAAAATAGACTTTGAAGAAAAGATGATCTTTCAAATTACTTCCCTTTAAGAAAAGTGCCACCTACATTGAAGGTGGCATTTTTCACTATATTTAGTGAAACTATACAAGCTTAATTACATGTCAATCTAATCAATACATCATACACTTCATTATTATTAATTAACAAACATCTATCAAATATTGATTATGTGCTAGGTCCATGTGAGGCCCCAGACATACAAAGCAGAATGTGGCATGAGCAGTGTGGGGCTGAAAGATTCATAGGAATGAGTCTATATGATGTACACTGGCCACCTTTGAGACCCAAGCAAAGCACTATGGGAGAATCCATACTCTTCAGTTCTTTGACTGACATCAGCACCTTCATCCTAGGCCTGACCTAGAACTCTCCTTTTCCCATATGTCTTTGTTTCTGGTTCTCATTTTACTTTTTTCCCTTGGTTTTATCTATAGATTATACACCATACTCATAACTACCGGCCTAATCTCCATATTCCTTGCTAGCCTATAAGTTCCTTGTTTGTTATTGTATCCCTGACATGGAGTGGATGTGTCATTATTCTTTGCTAAAGAATGTCTACAAAACTTCAACTCATAAAAACAAAGAAATTTGAATCCAGTGCAGACAATAGTGATGGCTAACAGGTATGTAGTGCTTGATTATACGCCATCCATAGTTCTCAGGGCTTAAAACATTACCACATTTAATCCTCACGAATAACTGTGAGACAATTATCTACATGTTGCAGATAGGCAAACTAAAGCATAGACAAAATAATTTTCTCAAATGCACAGAGCTAGTAGAGTTGTAGCAGGGTTTGAAATTGGAAAGAATGGCCGAAGGGGCCATGTGTTTAAACCACTCTACTACATAAGCCACAATGGCATCAAATCCATCAACTCATTTAATTGCTGAGGAAATTGCAGCTGAGAGATAGCACTCGAATTACCTAGAGTTAGAAAGCCAGAGATAGAACTGGGAAGAAATACTTGTTCTTTTGTTTCTCAATTGTTTGGTTCTTATTTGGTTCTAAATTTCATTGATTTACATAGGATTTTGATTGACTTTCACATCTTATCTTTTTTTTTAAAAAAAAAAGTTCACTCATTTCTTTGTTTTATGAATAACAGAGACAGAGAGAGGGAGCGATGATGAAAAAAAGACAAACACCACCAACAGGGTCCTCATGCTGTGATCCACCCCCAGCTTCCGCCAGCTCTGAATCATGGGCACACGTATGCCTGGCATGTTCAGGAAGGTCCCTGGTCAAGAACCTGGAACCTTCCCATGTGGGTTAGCCTCACAGAGACTTATGTGACCATATGCCACCATCTGGCCCCTATGTGTTACTTAATTCCCATTTTACACTTTGCTTTTCTGTTGATTTTAGTGACATGCTAATTTTCATGATCATATGATTATTTTGTGGCGGCACAGGTCTGGAACTCCAGTTTCCCAGTGTATATGATGTCTTGTTTCTTGGCTTGCCCCAGTCACCATGTGTACACTGAACGATCCTCCTAAGGAGGAAATGTAATCAAGTCTGAATTTGGAAGGGTGGCCACAGGGATTAAAAACATAACATAGGGACCAGCACATGGGGTAATTGTTAAGTTGCTCCCACATAATTGACTGTGGCTTGAGTCCCAGGTCTGGTGGCCTAGAACTCATGCCCAGCACGTGTGCATGTGTGCCCAAAATCCCAAGAGGAGACTAGAGAAGGGATTGTGATATGGCCACCCCTCCTGGGGGAGGAGGAAATTTCTTACTTTTTATCTGTTTCTCTTTGTCTCTCCAGTAAAGTGCATGCTCCCTATAACAAAATCTCTCTCTCTCTTAAGAAAAAAAAAAGGATCATATAATGAACAAATCTCCTAGTGTAGGAGGAAATGTTGTTTAAAACCATGTTTTAATATATTCTTATGAAATGATTAACTTGGAAAAAAGACACAAATTTAAAGTTGCTCACAGTCCCATATCCAAACACAACTACAGTTAGCATTTTGATGTACACTGTTTACCTCCATTTTTAGAAGTGTTTATTTCTTCCAGAAGACAGAGACAGAGAAAAAAAGAGATTCAGGCAGACAGAGAGACAGACACTTCCAATAGGGTCCTCATGCTGCAATCTCCCCCAGCCTCAGCCGGCCTAGATCATGGCCATGTGCATGAGGGACCCAAGCCCAGGCCCTTTCCCTTGTGATTTGCACTGCATTGCCACTGTGCCACCACTTGGCCCCATACGTCCATGTTTTTTTCCTATTAATTTGCTTTATTGGTTAGTGGCAATTGTAGAATATATTCGAATTTATATTTTGCTTTAAAAAAATTTTGCTAGATTGGACCAGCAGTTAGCATAATGGCTATGTAGCTGGACTCCCATGTAGTCGACCACAGTTCGTGTCCCGGACCCAGTGGCTTAAACTCACACTGGGTGCGTGTGCGTGCATGCCCAAGATCCCAAGAGGAGAATGGAGGAGAAGGGATTGTGGTGTGGCCTCTCCCCTGGGTGGTGACTTCTCGCTTTCTGTCTCTCTGTCTGTCTGGTGAACGCACACGCCCTGTAGCAAACACCTCTCCAAACAAATTTGCTAGAGGGCATGTGCATTCACCAGGGAGAGAGCATGTACATTCATCAGGGGGAGAGAAAGAGAGAGAGACAGAGAAAGATAGAGACAGAGAAAGTAAGCCCCTCCTAGCCTCATAGGGCATGGTCACTTTGCAGTCCCCTCTCCTTCACTTCTCCATCCTTTTGGGATTTGGGGTACACGTGCACATGCACCTGGCGTCTAGGACTTGAACTGTGAGGTCGGCCATGTGGGGTTCAGTTGCTTTAACCACCATGCCATGGGCTGGCTTGTATTTTGCATTTTGGTAATAATATTTTAATAGGATTTATATTGTGTTACTACCACATTTTTGTGCTATGTTTTGTTTTTTAGATTGATGAATATGTTATGAAAAAAATGAATAAATTCTATGAAAAAAATCGTAATTTTTACAAGGACACTGTGGGTGATTTGCTAAAGTTCATCCGTAATATAGGAGAACACATAGATGAAGACAAGAATAAAGAGTAAGTATTTTTTTTCATTTCTTTTTTTAAATTTTTTTTTGAGAGTTCTTTGCTATTGGGTGCTTGCACTCACCAGAAAGACAGAGAGAGACAAAGAGACAGAAGGCAAGAAATTACCCCTCCTCTTGGGGTCCTGGGCATGCATGCACATGTGCCTGGTGTGAGTTTGGGTCTGGGGCTCAAACTGTGGTCCACTACATGGGAGTCCAGTGATACAGCCGTTACGCCAACTGCTGGTCCCGGTATTTTTTTCATTTCTTTAGTGCACATGTGAAATGAGAATGATTAAAAAAATCCAATTCTGGACTGGCTTCATAGCCTAGTAATTAAAGGAGCCTGGATTCCACATGGCTGACCACAGTTTGAATCCCAGCCCTGGTGGCTTGAAAGACATGCAGGTTGTGTGTGTGTGTACATGCCCACAGTCTTGAAAGAATGGAAAAATGGAAGAGAAAGGATTGTGGCATAACCACATCCCAGTGGGGTGTGCCTTCTCCCTCTCTCAGGTCTGTATCTGTAACTCTCTGGCAAGTTGTATGTACCTTTACACACACACACACACACACACACATACACACAAATCTAATTCGAAATTCATATCTGCTATGGAAGGAAGAAAATTCATCTTTATGAAAGAAATGACACCCACTATTTGGGAAAGAGCTATCACTGGGGACATACAATGAATGATGTGTGTGTGCAGAAGGCACAAATATTCCTGTTCAGCATTTGCTGGGTTACTTTGAACAGAAGCTAATGATGACCTTAGGTGAAAATTAAAAATAAACCCATGTTACTTAAATTGGTTCTTGTTGCCACAAACATTAGCTTTAAACTCATGTGAAAACTTGCAGTTCAGGGACCAGCAGTTAGTGTAATGGCTATGTCGCTGGACTCCCATGTAGTCGACCACGGTTCAAGTCTCAGACCCAGTGGCTTAAACTCATGCCGGGTGTGTGTGAGTGCGTGCCCAAGATCCCGAGAGGAGAATGGAGGAGAAGGGATTGCGGCATGGCCATCCCCCTCAGGGGTGATTTCTAGCTTTCTGTCTTTCTCTCTCTCTCTGTCTTTCTGGTGAGCGCACACACCCTATAGCAAAAACCTCTCTGGGAAAAAAACAAAAACAAAACAAAACTTGCAGTTCAGAGCTGTTTGAAATTTTGGAATTGTAGGAAGAAAATTGTGACCTTGTACCTTTCCATTTTTTTAATGAAAAAAAATTAAGAAGTTCAGAAAGATTATGTGACCAAAGTTTGTGCTAGTTAGTTGAAGAGTCAGCAGATGAATCTTACTCTGTTGGATTCCTGAATCCTTATCCGTTCTGCCACAGAAACCAAGGGAGCCAAGAGATCTTGAGACCCTCTTTTGTGAAGGGGAAGAAGGATTTGGGCAAACAGGCTAAACTGTGTGTGTTTCATTGCAGCCTAAAGTCAAAAATTGGAGATCCTTCCTGTTATTTTCAGAAGAAATTTCCAGATCTGGTGATCTACGTCTATACAAAATTACAGGACACAGAATATAAAAAGCATTTCCCCAACACCCACCATCCAGACCAGCCTCAGTGTGACAGAGGAGGCAGGACCAGTGGGCTGGCCAGCCCTGCGTGCTGACCAGCTGAGTCAAGTTCAGGAAGTCATTTATTCATTGTTTAGTCCTGGGAAGGTTGCAACTCTCTGGGCCTCTTAACTAACCCAGGTACTTGTGAAGTTGACTTGGATAATGGATGTGTCCATTCCTGGTGCAGTGCATTTCGTATCTTTGTAACAAAAGCATTATCTGCCTAAACTACACTAGTCCATTTTTCTGGGTTAAGTTTATCAGCAGCAACTGGGAGGTCAGTCTGCTAAGATGCCTCTTGTGATTTGTACCAAAGGAGTGAGTACGACGCCTGATGCTGTATGTTTTTATAATTTCACTTCATTTTCCAGTGGCATTACAAAATAGGGTTTAGTAACCCCATTTAAGAACTGAACAATCTAAAAAAATTGAAATCCGAGACTTTCAAAAAAAATTGAAATAGGTACTTGTATGCCAATATTCAGCAATTGTCACAATAAGCCAAAAGGTTGGAACAGCCAGAATCCATCATCCATCAATGAATACACACACACACACACACACACACACACACACACACATAATGAATGAACCTTGAAAACATACTAAGCGAAATGAACCGAATATGAAAGGAAAAATATTGTATGATCTCACTTACAGGAGGCAGCTAAAATAAACAAGTTCATGGAGACAGGGTTACCAGAGGCTAGGAGGAGGAAGAAAATGAAGAGTTATTATTTAATGAGTGCAGAGTTTCTGTTTGGGATTTTTAAAAATCTGGAAATGGATAATGGTGATGGTCACACCACATTGTAAATGTACTTAATGCCACTAAAATGTACATGTAAAATAGTCAAAATGCTCATTTTTATGTTGTGTGCATTTTACCACCAAAAACAAAACAAAACAAAACAAAAAGGAGCAACCTGAAACTCAATGTTTTGGCTACTTGCCTGACCTCATATACTCTGCTTAGAGCACTGTGTAAATGGATATGGGGTTATTGTGACCTTTCCCTTAGGTACCTTAGAGCTTACCCCAAAGCTCTTCTGGTGAGACCCCCAAAGAAATATGCCAGATGGGCTCCCAGAAGCATTTAATATTTGTTGAGCACCAGTTTAATTCTAGGTAACAGTTGCATAAATGCTACTCTTTCTAGAACCACCTGCACTGGTTTTCGTGATCTTAAGGCAGTAGTTCTTAACTGGGGACCACTTTGCCCCTCAGGGGACATTTGGTAACATCTGGAGATGTTCTTAGTGTCACAGCTGGGGCAACGATGCTATTGGCATTTAGTGGGTGGAGACTGTGAATGCTGCCAAGTACTCTACAATGCAGGGTACAGCCCCCACAACACAGAATATCTGATCAAAATACCAGAGGAGCTGAGGATAGGAAAACCTGCCTTAAGGGACTGGGACAATTTTGACTTGACTGTGGAGGGTGTGGGCCACTTCACAGAAGAGTGAGCTGAATTTGTTTTCTTGCCAGTTGGATCTGCAGTGAGGTAGTCCTGGTGTTAGCGCCTCAGGCAGTCCTTCAGACACCCTCACCTGCCACTCCCCATTCTGGGTGGCTTTTTTTGACTCTAGCACCCATAACCTCATCAGGCCACACCTCTTCCCACCTCATAGCTTTGGTTTCCCACTGGAATCTGAACACCTTTGGGCCAATGACTCTCTTTTACTAGAATTTGTATCTTCACTGTCTAGTGAAGTGTCTGCCATGTGGTAACACTCCATAAATATTCATTGGATAATGAATGAACATCTTCAAATATGAGTAATGGTACTATCTTACATTTTTATGGTTATCTATAAGTTATAGGTGACATGTACATGTTTTATCTGTTTTTAAGACAACCCTGTAAGTATTGTTATCCTCATTTTGCTAATGTGGAAACTTAAGCTAGAAACATTTTCACTTACTCAAGAACGTATAGGTAGGAAGTGTCCCTGTGTTGATTTGAACAGATAGTCTGGCTCTAAGCCTATGTCCTTTCTATTTATCATTGTGGTGAAGATGGAATTTTATAATGGGAACAATACAGTATCTTAGATTCTTTCTGAAAAGGAGGTGTCTAGTAATGGATAAATGAATGTCACTGAAGAAAGTGAAAAACAAACTTAGGTCTTTAAAATTTTTTTTAAGTTTATTTTATTTGTGATAGATAGCATGTGTGCATAAGAGAGAGAGAGAGAGAGAGAAGCATGCTTTTTTCTGCTCAGGCCACAATCCCTGTCCCCAAGTCCTCAAGCTTGTTGAAATCTTGGGCACACGTATGTGCCCTGTGTGTTTCAAGTTGCCTGTGGTTGGCTATGTGGCTTACATGACTATGGTTCAGTATGTTAAAGAGATTTTATAATAACATGATTGCTTTCACTTTTAAAAATTAAGCTTTAGTTGTCTGACTTGAAACAAATACCTGAAAATGTCAATCAAATTATCCATTTGTGAAATACATTCAATAAATCCTTGAATCATCTTGTTAAACCTGCTTCTTTTTCAGTGACATTTGTTTTAGAGATGGTAATTATCTACAACAGATACAATAAAGTACTCAGTAGTTACTTGATAATTCCTGGATAAGTTTTAAGAAAGGGCATCCCACTCTACAGAAATGGGAGAAGAAGCCTATTTTCAACCCTCCAGCAATTATGGAACAATGTGGGCTCCGGGTGTCCTTGCAGACAAAGAAGGAACTGGTCATTTCACACATTTCACACTTTAGTTCTCTGAGTTTCTGCTGAGACTTTGCAAATGTTTCTTGTTCAATTGTCATTACTGCAAACCTTTTACAGAGCATGTAGTCCATATCAGCTATTATATTAGGCAAGGTGATTCCGTGCCTGGGCTTGCCAAGCAGAGGTGCCAGTTAAACAGAAAAGAGGAAGTGCCCACCCAGAATGTACAGGAGCAGAACATAGGTGAGACAGTGGTAGTAAGAGTAACGAGGTAGTCCCCTGTTGAATACCTGCTGCTTTCTAGTGTCTAACATTTTTTCCATATGACATCCAGCGATATCTACGATGATGCTGTAAGATGTGGTTATCTCTATTTTATAGACAAGACAATGTGCAGAAAGGATTGATAAATCACCCCAGTTTCCACAGTTATGGAGGGGAAGAGCCAGGATGCAAACCCAGGCCAGGAAGTCCATAGGAAGTGATCTTTTTTGAGTGCCAGATGGTGAGTTTAAGTGGGATGGACTAGTCACTTTGTAGACATATCAGGGCTTCACCCATTCTTCATTGAAGTCTCTCTGAGACTGGTCAAGCTTACCAGTGATCTTCACAGTGCCAAATCCAGTAGGTCACTTTCCTGTCTAGGTTCACTTCATGACTATAGTTTATTCACCTGGCAACCCTCTTGCTGTTGAAACTATTTTTTTAAAGAGGTTTTTGCCTTAGAGCTCATGAGCTCTCTGGAGAAAGAGAGAGACAGTCAGAGGGAAAGTGAGAAATCATCCTCCAGGAAGGATGACCACACTTTAATCCCTTATCCTCCATTCTCCTCCTGGGATCCACACACCAGGTGTGATTTTTAAGCCACCAGGTCTGGGACTTGAACTGTGGTTAGCCACGTGGGAGTCCAATGACGTAACACTACGCCATGTACCATTCCCAGAAACTGTCTTCTTTAACATCCTTAATTCTACCCTTCCTATTGATTGCTTCTCCATGGTGTCCTTTACCAGCTTCTGTACTTAACAGCTAATTGCTGAGTGCCCCCAATTTAATTATCAAGCAATTCACTGTTTCCCTTTCTTTTTTCCCCCCTTTGGAGAGTTTTTATTTATTTATTTATTTATTTTTTGCTGTAGGGCACGTGCGCTCGCCAGACAGACAGAGCAAGACAGTGAGACAGAAAGCCAGAAATCACCCCCCAGGGGGGATGGCCACACCGCAATCCCTTCTCCATTCTCCTCTTGGGATCTTGGGCATGCACACACGCACACGTGCCCGGCATGAAAAAACTAGAAGGAAGCAAGGAAGTAAGCTTTGTTGATATTTTAAGGAAAGCAAGCAGAAGGAGCAGCCAGTCCAAAGGCTCTGAGACTATTCATATCCCATGTGTTTGAGGAATACAAAAGTTTGGTATGTCACATGTAGATTGAGCAAGAAGAAGTAGAAGGGAAAAGAGAGGAGACAGGAAATGAGGGAGGGCACAAAGGCAAATGCTTTTGCTAAGTGAGATGGGAAGCCCTCAGTGGAATGTGGACAGAGGACTGGATTACATGACCTCACTCTGCTTCTCTGTGGAGAGACTACAGAAGGCAAGAGTCAAGATGGGGAGATTAGTCAGGATGATACAGAGAGACCCTGAATTCATGAATAACTCAGGGCTGATAACTTCCTGAGATTTCTGCCCTCTGGCAAACTTACTGCCCCTCCCCGGAGCTACAGGGTAACCTGAAAGCTTGAATAGGTTAGATGTCCTGCTTTTCTGCCACATTCATTTCAGGGCAGGTTCTGAGCTCCTTCCCTATCCCTAACATCCCGAGACCTCTCCTCTCCAATTTCCCCATAAAAGACATGTCCGACCCCCAGTCAGGGCTGGAGATTCAGAGCATTAATTCTTCCATGCCCGCCAAGTGTCGTTTCTGTTCCTCGGTATCTGTTTTTCTGCAACATTTGGTGCATTGGCTGGGAAATGGAATCAGACTGGCCCTTTGAGCCACCGATCCCAGGGAATTTCCCCCTGGAATGGGCACTATGGTGTGCCCCCGTCTTGTTTGACAGGATCCCTCAGCTGGGGTGCCTGCCCCTGGCTGAGCATTCCTGGATCATTGGACTCTGATTGGAGAGAAGGACTGACTCCTGGATCCTGATGCATCAACCTTGGTCAGCTCTGGTAATTTGGTAAGCCCCCGGGGATCTGTAGAACTTTTGTTAGACTTACTTGAATAGAGTAGAGTAGGAGACCCGATTGATCACTTTCCTTTGGTCACAGGATCAGCAGTTAGGGCTCATCTGGTAATTGGTTGGTGTGGGGAAGGAATGTATAACCTCTGAATGAATGTGAATATTTGTTTGTGATAAACAAATGAGCAACTGTGTTTGCGGCTCTATGGTGTCTTACTGCAGAGCATGATTGGGTTTGTGACTGCATTTCTGTGGGAGTTCTGAAAAGGCTAAGCTGCAAAATTGATGCTAGGGGACACTGTCTGCCTCTATGCATTTGATCCAGCGGAGGGTTTATTTCTGATTGCTCATTGCCAAGGAACTACACAAAGCCATGAAGGACATGACCAGACGGATGCCTGATTGGCCCTTAGTCCCCTGTTGAATACCTGCTGCTTTCTAGTGTCTAACATTTTTTCCATATGACATCCAGCGATATCTACGATGATGCTGTAAGATGTGGTTATCTCTATTTTATAGACAAGACAATGTGCAGAAAGGATTGATAAATCACCGCAGTTTCCAGCGTTATGGAGGGGAAGAGCCAGGATGCAAACCCAGGCCAGGAAGTCCATAGGAAGTGATCTTTTTTGAGTGCCAGATGGTGAGTTTAAGTGGGATGGACTAGTCACTTTGTAGACATATCAGGGCTTCACCCATTCTTCATTGAAGTCTCTCTGAGACTGGTCAAGCTTACCAGTGATCTTCACAGTGCCAAATCCAGTAGGTCACTTTCCTGTCTAGGTTCACTTCATGACTATAGTTTATTCACCTGGCAACCCTCTTGCTGTTGAAACTATTTTTTTAAAGAGGTTTTTGCCTTAGAGCTCATGAGCTCTCTGGAGAAAGAGAGAGACAGTCAGAGGGAAAGTGAGAAATCATCCTCCAGGAAGGATGACCACACTTTAATCCCTTATCCTCCATTCTCCTCCTGGGATCCACACACCAGGTGTGATTTTTAAGCCACCAGGTCTGGGACTTGAACTGTGGTTAGCCACGTGGGAGTCCAATGACGTAACACTACGCCATGTACCATTCCCAGAAACTGTCTTCTTTAACATCCTTAATTCTACCCTTCCTATTGATTGCTTCTCCATGGTGTCCTTTACCAGCTTCTGTACTTAACAGCTAATTGCTGAGTGCCCCCAATTTAATTATCAAGCAATTCACTGTTTCCCTTTCTTTTTTCCCCCCTTTGGAGAGTTTTTATTTATTTATTTATTTATTTTTTGCTGTAGGGCACGTGCGCTCGCCAGACAGACGGAGCAAGACAGTGAGACAGAAAGCCAGAAATCACCCCCCAGGGGGGATGGCCACACCGCAATCCCTTCTCCATTCTCCTCTTGGGATCTTGGGCATGCACACACGCACACGTGCCCGGCATGAAAAAACTAGAAGGAAGCAAGGAAGTAAGCTTTGTTGATATTTTAAGGAAAGCAAGCAGAAGGAGCAGCCAGTCCAAAGGCTCTGAGACTATTCATATCCCATGTGTTTGAGGAATACAAAAGTTTGGTATGTCACATGTAGATTGAGCAAGAAGAAGTAGAAGGGAAAAGAGAGGAGACAGGAAATGAGGGAGGGCACAAAGGCAAATGCTTTTGCTAAGTGAGATGGGAAGCCCTCAGTGGAATGTGGACAGAGGACTGGATTACATGACCTCACTCTGCTTCTCTGTGGAGAGACTACAGAAGGCAAGAGTCAAGATGGGGAGATTAGTC